TAATTTTTACGCGAAAACAGTTAAGCTGAGTGTGGGAATTACAATTTTTGCTTCATCGGTAGAGACTTATATTCTTGATGTTAAATTTAAGTGAACCCATTGTAGGATGTCAGTAGTCGCGTGGTTCTTCAAACTGTCAATGTTCGTCCGCGACAAGCACAACTATCTTGTCGACGAAGGTTAGGCGTTTTTTTTACTTTTTTGTCGGTAGTCTTTAAGGATTTTTAATATAACAATTACTTCCCTTCTTTCATTGGCAGTTTTAGTTACAGATGGTTCTATATAACTTTTATTTGAAAGACTTCTTTTACTTCAAATCTCATACAGATAGGGAAACAAGTTTTGTTTTCTTTTTATTTTATTTGCTTTTAAGTCAGACTTTTTTTAGCTTTTTTGTTTTGAGCTGGTTATTTTTATTTTGTTACTGACAGCTGCCCTCACATTTATCAGTACCTTATACAGTGGCTGTTCAAGAATTTTTTCGGTGCTCTTAAAAAGTCATTTTTTGAAGTATTTTAAATGAACACCGAGCTTTAGTCGGTCTGCCGTCTTGGGTTTCCTACTGTATGTTTGCTGGTTTCACATTAGCCGTCGGGTGCATATTAGGATTTTTCATTGTTTGCATTATCGACCGAGTTTTCCCAACCGGACAGCTTGCAGCTAAACATGATAAGAAGGAAGGCAAGAAGGAACAGAAAGGAAAAAATAAAAAGGTAAGTCTGTTTTTTTCAACAAGCAGCCTGCATTTTCTCTGCTAAAAATTAGTGGATCAAAAGATTTTCTACCTAGTAATCTTCAAATTGTTTAACAGCATTTGGTTTTGAGTTCGTTAACATTATGGCTATTATTTCAGGATGATCACAAGAAAAAAGAAGATGAGAAGCCACAGGAAGAAAAAGCTTCTCAAGATGGTAAGGTCGAAGAATTTGTTCTACTTTGGTGGCAAGAATTTTCTCTTGCAAAAGTTTTTAAAGACTCAATGCAAAAACGTCTTAAGATGAATGTGATAATATTCTTTGCTTTAAGCAGCTATATAGCCTTTTCAAACCGTGGTCTAATCTAGCGAAATAGACAAATTGTTCTTTTACATTTTTAACCAGGTGGTACGAGTTTTGCTTTTGATGTTAATTTTTATGTCTAGTTTCATAGCTTATCAGTCTTTACAGAAGACTCGACTGATGACGGAGTTCGCAACAGAAAGAATAATGATAGGAAAGAAAATTCAAAGGCTTCCCCCAAAGCTGAGGCTAAAAAGAAGAAATAATTTATATCATCTGTGTTTTAGTTGCTGTTTGCGCCATTATTGTTTCTCAATTCACGTCTTTTTTTATAAAATTTGAAGTGGTTAAGTGGGTCTTAAGTTTTAGACAAATTTTTAAATTTAAACAGCCGGATGTGTAAATTAATTAAATTTTTTTTCGCATACTTTGCGCGGTTGTGTAAGTCGTCTTTCAGAATTGAGAATAAATGTTGACTTAGATAGTATTATAAGTTATCCGTTTGACTTCTAACTTACCATAGAAAAATATTCTTTCACGCTACATTCCGAAATTAACGTCTTGAGTTTGACGACCTGAGTTGTTTTACTTTTATTTGAGATGTGCAAGTAGTTACTTTGTTTTGTTTCTACTTTTTTTTTTTTTTTTTTTTTTTTTTTTTTTTT